AATTTTCTATCTTAGGCTGTAGTATCCATTACGAACTTAAAATACCAAATTTGAAGTAATTACAGTGAATAATGTCGCTAAAATCATCAAAATACAGAATATCGGGAGGTAGCGTTATGTGGGGGTTATACGAAGACGTGGATCTGCACAGACAATTTTCTATCTTAGGCTGTAGTATCCATTACGAACGTAAAATACCAAATTTGAAGTAATTACAGTGAATAATGTCGCTAAAATCATCAAAATACCGAATATCGGGAGGTGGCGTTATATGAGGGCTATACGAAAACGTGGACCTACATGACCCATTTTCAATACCAAAAGTTCTGCAGATTGAATTCTAGATTGATTTCCACAGATTGATTTGTACAGACGTACGGCCATCGCTAAATCGACATAGAATTCTATGCTGATCAAGAAAGTACTTTGTGGGGTCTAAAATGTATATTTCGAGATGCTACAAACGGAATAACAAACTTAATATACGCTCAATGCTATGGTGGAGGGTATAAAAAATGGGAAAGGCAAGAAGTGATTGTGATTCCCAAGTGACCATTCCCTTCGCCGGGATGAAACCATGATATTGGTGGCGATCAGCAAATATTGCAAAACTGGATGTTGAAAAACCTTACTCTCTGTAATAGAGAGTAATCTGAAGAAGCCAGCCAGCCAGAAGCTATTAAAATTGGAAAATTTGCAAGAAATATTCTTTAAAATCCGGGTTGACGACTCTAACGGGTTTTGGAAAATATTCCAAAAAAATCAACGCCATTGGCATCGATTTTTTCCCAAAAATCAAAAATCGCACTTGAAAAGTCAATGTTTAGCTCTTGAAAATGCCTTAAAAATATCAAAAAAAAAAAAATCTTGTTATTCTTCAAAAAAATAATAATAATTAAATAAATAAAAAATATATATGGAAAATATTCCAAAGAAAAATTAAGGCTGATGGCATCGAATATCGATTCAATATTTTCTTCTTTGAAGGTTTAACGTTTAACTCTTGACAAGTCCTTGATTATAATATCCACGTTAATACTTCCGTTAATAGGCTTTAAAAATACAAAAAAATTGAGCTAGTTATTCCTCAAAAAATATATATATTTCTCAAAAGTCCCTTCTAAATATTAAAAAAAAATCCCTTCCCCACCTTTTTTTCTTATTCAAATAAAACCACTGTACGTGCCCTGCACCCCTCCCCGCTCCCCTTTCATTTTCATATTTTTGGTTTCTGTTCACTTGTGATAAGAATTGTGCATGTTTGGGAAAAAAATTGATGGTGATTAATTTACGATTGTTAACACAATTATTGTTATAACGTGTTTTGTTTTTCTTGGCCGACATTGTTTTTTTTTATTCGTTTCTTTTTTTGTCAAAAGTTGTCGTTGACTTCATTTCCATTGAATTTCGGAAAAAATACATACATATATTGATTATTTAAAATGTGTTGCTATTTTATTGTTGTTAGTGATGTTGTTATTAATTTATTTCATTTTTTTCACCACCTGATAGAGTCTCAATACTTTGTAAGACGATATTAAAATGTGGTTGTATGAGGTATGGATTTTTTTTTACGATTCAAATTTTAAAATTGTTACAAATCGAAGAGGAGGAGGTGCCATTGTTACTTTTATATATATATATTTCCCTTATCATTTGATTTCATTGTAATGTAGGTCATTTGTTGTCCACAAAGCGCAAATGAGTGTTATTATCAAAGGTAAGCGATAATATATTGAATTTCAAGAACGACCACCAAATATGGAAATTTTTGAGAAAAAAAAAAAAGAATTATCGGAAATCAATATCAAATCAAGAAAAAAAGTTAGCTAGGAAAATAAATTATAAAAATATTAATCACGCGATTCAAATCAGATATTTCGCCTTTCATGGGGTGGGTTGTATTAATCATAACAAATTAAAATGAAATATTCGTCGTAATATTCATCGCCAATCGGTTAAAGGGGTTTCAATGGGAATTGCAAAAAATTTGGGGAAATAGATTTCAATCAGAATGGACGATTAACGATTTTTTAAGGGAAATGCACGTTATAATTAAAATTAAGTTGAAATGTTGAAAAGAGACGCAAAATATTTTTTTTAATTTTCTACCAAAAATTTGTTGCAAAAAATATGCGACTCAAGCTGATAACCCCACATGTCTAGAGAAATAGATACTTAGAAAATTAAAAAAAATAGCTTCCAAGAATAAAACTTATTAATTCCATACCAAGAATAAATCATCTACTTTACAAGATGCAATCCTTGATAAAAAAAATTTTACTAAAAATCCATGAGCTTGGATTCAAAAGTCCTTAAAGTATGGTATATGGATTTTCAAAACACAAAAAAAAAATTGTTTAAATCCGCCATCTTATTTGTATTTAAAATCCTCAATTTTATGCTTGAACTTCTTGTACTAAAAATCCACAACTTTAGGCTGTAAATTCCTTAAAATCCAGAATTTACACATAAAATTCCCTGACATTATTTATTCAAAGGGTTTCACCATGTCAGGCAGTAGAAATGTCTTTAAAAATCCAGGATGTAGAGTTGGAATCCATGAGAATATTTATTTAAAAATTTCACCCATTCAACTTTTCCCTTTCAAAAATCATAATTTGGACCTGCAGTTTTTGAGAAATGTTTTTTATTTTCTTTAATTTTAACTTGAAACTCATTGAAAAAAAAATTCTACCAGTTCAAGATTTTAAACTAGAAAGTACTCCAAAATATCATTTTTTTATATCCACGATTTCAAACTTAAAATTCGTTTAAAGAAAGAAGGGTTTCTAGCTCTGAGGGATTTTTCAATTTTTGGTTCTGTCGAGTTTAAATAAAATTGCAAAATATATTCGATCTCTGAGTTTTAAAAATACAGATTGAGATGAAAAAAACTACAACCAACTTCAGACTGCTGTCATTACAGAGCCACTCGTCTGACAGCTGTTTAAATTATTCCAGTGACAGCTCATTATATTGTTTACAAGCGCACAAAAGCATTTTGATGAGAATTTTCCAGAAAAAAAGTTATTCGTGATGGAATCGAAGCGTGATAGTGTGATTTCTTTATATTTGCCTGGAAAACCACAAGTGGCTATCGTTAGAGCACTACAGCATTTAAATGTGAATAAATCTTTTGTGTCTCGTACCATCGCTCGTTACCGTGATACTGGTAGCGTAGCCCGACATCGAGGAAGTGGACGGATCGAAACCCGCGTCGAAGTTGCCGAAAAATGGCGCTGAGCTGAACATATCGCAATATTCCATTCGCCAGGTATTGAAAAATGAGCTCAAGGTAAAGCCATTGAAATTCCAAAAAGTGCAAGAACTTACACCGCAACAGAAATAAAATAGACACAAAACAGTTGATTCGCTTGGCCGAACCGCTGGTGAACTGCCGAATTTGGTTTTCTCCAATGAAAAATCATTCGTTGTGCAGCAGTTTGTAAACATACAAAATGATCGTGATTACTTTCCAAAAAGGTCAGCTGAAAATGTGCACCCTCGTGTGAAAAAAAAGACTCAAATGTGCTCTAACCCAATATAGGCCGTTTATGAAACGGAGGACCTATATATTGAAATATTTTCGTATATCGAGATTATATAAAATGACAATTCAAATAGCCTAATTACAGTCAATTATGTTGAATATGGGAGTTGGACCCAATTTGTAACACCGAATGGTAGATGGTACCGGTATGTGAGCGTTACTCCAAATACTTGACTTAAATACCGCGTAGGACCGTGTTACATCCTTGTAAAACCAAATACGTATTACTAAAATTTTTTCATTTGAAAATGAGTCGGAAACCTTCAACATATTTTAAATCGACTGAGTTTAAACAGAGGGTTATACCAAATAGCGGACATATGGCGAAAAGTCTTTTGTAGAAAGAAATTCTGCATATGAAGAAACCGATACGAAAAAATGACAAAGCAGTCGATGGGAAATAATGACACAAATGTTCGTTCAAGGCGCTGAGTGCACCCAGAATATCAGGAAATTTCTGTGCAAGATCAAACATGATTTTTAGTGCTTGAGTGTTTCATAAACCCAATATTCAAATATCAAAATTAAAATTTCTTAGGAAGATACCAAAGGTTCATAAAAAATACAAATTTTCTACTTCAAAACAAAAGTCATTTTTGAGTTATGTTACCCTTGTTACCCTTGAAAAAATATGCGTTATTTCAGGAGAAAAATTAAAATAGCGGAAACCGATTTTTGCTGTTTTTTGTTGAAGGCATACATCAAAAGCTCGAAGTGTCGACTTTTGTTTTCAACAACATATTCGGAAAGGGGCAGCCTTTGCATACAATACCGGCTGAGAGTATCAAAATAGAAAATTACATACATATCCGTAACACCTTTTAGCGATATTTTCCGTGAAAAAATCAACTGTAATATAAATTAAAACTCATAAAACAGAATATTTTAAATTAACTGTGGGGAGGCGTAAAACGTCTTCTTAAACCAAATTTTCCTAGTTCAAAACGGTCATAGTTATTTTGCCCATAAGAAATGGTTTTATAAATCAGGTACTCCTCCAAACATGTATCATATTCATCTCCATGATTATTTTTTTGGGTCATACAACGTTACGAACCTGACGAAAAAATGTCATTTCAACACAAGAGACACTTTATTCATTATATTTGATTTTTATAAATTTTTCTCCTTCTCTTTTGAAAACAAGTGCGATTTTATAAAAAAGTATCGTACAAGTGTAAATTTCAAAAATATTTCGCTTTTCTTGTTTTGAGAATTCTTAATATGCGAAGAATCCGTTAAAATCCCATGCGGCCACAATTTATAAAGAAAAATTAACATTCAGATTGTGGATTAAAAATCTTGCAACACAAATACCCATATTTTGATTTTCTAATTTTCTTTGTCTTATATTTTTATTTTTTTATATATTTTTTTTTTTTCAATATTTCTACTTTTATTTTTTATGAATATTTGAAAAAAAGATAATGTTTTTGTGATCACTTACATCGATTTTGCATAATGTGATGGTGTGCGGTGGTTGGTGTTTTTAATAAATCACGTTTCAGTGAATTATTATTATCCTCCGGTGTTGATGAATGCCAACGTAGCTCTGACATAACCATTTTCACAATGTAAAAATGTTTTAAAAATTGAGGGGGGTTTTTTTACAGAAAATATTTATCTGCGTTTTGTTCTTGTTTTTATTTCACTGATTTGCAATGTTTCAATATCCAACGAAAATTTTTTTTGTGTGTGACACTTTGCACGTAATCGTAAAAATTTGCTTGAAAATATCTTTATTTAGTTATATTCCATTTCAAAATAAAATTTTGTGCGTTCGATTTTGATTGTGCGTTCGTAAAAAATGTTTTCCATTTCATTTAAGAACTTTTGTTTTCATTCATATTTTCTGTTTTGTTGTTGTTGTGTTTTATTTTTCTTTTTTCTTACAAATGTTTTGTTTTCTTGTAATTCTGATGTGTTTTCACATTAACGTTTCATTTGAAACTAAAATTCCGATTCGACGTTAAAGTGTTACAATACCTTTGTTTTGCAATGTTTGAGAACGGACTAACTGATAGATGGATGTCTGAGTAGGAATTCGGATATCCTTAGCAAATTTTTTTTTTGCAGAGTCGCAGCCCAAGATGGTATTGTTGTTGTATGGTATGGAAATTGTGCAGTTTTTTGCCCTAAAATTTGCCTTATTTTGCTTTTTCTTGAGAACAATTGTCTGGTTTATGTTTGTTAAAAAGGGGGATGATTTTATTCTCCTTTATTTTCTTTTTTTTGGTGAGATTTTTCCAATTTGAATTTGATTTCCTTTCTTTTTTTTGGCAACCACAGAGAGAGTTTTCTTTTATTTGCTCTCCCTTTCGGAAAATTCTTTTCTCTTTTTGGTTTTTCCCGTAACAAGACTTTCACGTATTTATTTTGTTTGCTTTTCTGTTTCTGCGCCTTAGACTTATTTGCCTTCACACAGCGTTATGCGTTTATCTTGTTGCACGTTATGTTTCAAACTAAATTCATTCCATTCTCAATGGCAGCGGCTTCGTCGTGGGTCTTACTTAAATTTCCTTTAGTCAAAGCAAGCAAATGGCAAACAGCAACAAAACAATGCCCAAGAAAGAGTAACGGCCGAAACAAATGATTTTTGCTCTCATTTTAAGTTGTTATTGATTGGTGTTTTTTTTGTGGACGTCTTAGGCTTGCGGAGCTATGCACACACAGAGGGGCATAACCCAGCCGCAAACTTTTCGACAGACATCACTCATTGAAAATGATTCTTATTTTTGTTCTTTTTGCATAAACAAATGAATTCCACACCAGCCAGCAGAGCAAAATACCCATTTGCCCCTTTTTATGCTCTGCAAAGAGCAGAAAACCAATTGGAATTCTCTCAATTCTAACCAGGGGAAATACCATCCACATTAACATTATTGTCTTTATTCTTTGCCCAACACATAACGTACAGAGAATAACAACAAAGCCAGGCTCTCATGGCAATTCCCCTACTCATCATATCCAATATGAATTCTCCTCCTCTCTCTCTCCCTGACCAGAACACAATCCACCAACTAGGAAATAACAGAGCCCAACACACAACAAACTCTTTTTCTCCTTCACGAATGAATTCGTGTGCTCATTGGTTTGCCTCAGTTTCCTTATGCTCTCTTGCTCTCTTTGCGGTACTCTGCCAACTCTTGACTGCACACACAGCAATGAATATGATGAGGTGTAGTAGTAGTTGTTGTTGCTACATTTGGCTCTGTGTGTCTCAGTATTTTAAACTGCCTTTGTCGCTGTTGTTGTTGTTTTTACATTATTGTTGCCTCTATCATCACCGTTATGAGTTGTTAAAGTTATACTTTACATTTTACGTTTGGCTGTTTGTTGTATTCACGTGTGGATATGGCAGAGAGTGTGTGTGTGTGTGAGTACAAGTATGAATGCCAAGAGGGGAGCCATGGCCTATGTGTGCTTGCTGTTGTTGTTGTTATTTTGCTTATATATTTTTTATTGTATTGAGGAGGAGTGGCTTAAAATTTAAATTTAATACCGTTTTTTACTGCTCTAACATCATGGGCATTGTTACTGTTGTTGTTGTCATTCGGTTTATTTTTTTTTGTGAGCCTCATACTTGGGTCATGCTCTGCTCTACTCGGCTCGGCTCTCCCCATATGGTTGTGGAGAGCTATGTTTGCATGATAGGTAGTAATGTGAATGGTTGAATATGAATTTGTTGTGTGTGGGGCTCTTGGCGTACGTGAGTGAGTGAGTGTGTGTGTATGTTTGTGACACTACCGATGAATGGGGGGCATTTTACAAAGGCCAGGCAGGCATACACTTTGCGCGCCTTGGCAATTTTTATTGTTGTTGCTGTTTCTGCTGCCACCACTGCTACTGGGCAACAGACTTTTCACTGCTGCCACCCGCCACAGATGGGCAAAAGACTTGGGAGTATGGTTGTTGTTTTTGTTGCTTTCTGTCATATTTTAAATATTATACGTTATAGCAGCTACTATACATTTATGTTTATTTCATTTTTTCTCTGGGCCCTTTGGGTCGTTGTTGTTGTTGCTGTTGTTCTTGTTGTATATGGATATTTGTGTGCATATTCTAACGTTATGATTGGATCAAATATTATCTGTTTCGTTTCGTTTGGTTAGGTTTTTTTCTCCATACCTATCGAAGTTTGCAATGACTTTAGAATTGTCTCTTCCTCATAGCCAGCTTATGTTAGAATATAGGGATTTTCCATTTTGCTTCAAAGTTGTGGGTGGTGGCAGGTAGATATTGGTTAGAAAGGTGGGCGGGAGTTTTCTTTTTTGTTATTTGTGAATTTTAGAATTTTATTTTCAAATTTCTCTTGGGTTTGTGCGCATAACTTTGCAAGGAACTCAAAACGCAAATGTAGAACATCCATAAAGTTATTGTAGGGTCGTTTTGGGGGTGTAGATTGAGGTGTGGGTGGGTAGGAATGTGTATCGCCAAGAATTTTGGCTTTACATTTTTTTTGTAGAATTGAATAAGCATTTGCTGGTATGGGGGGATTACACGTGTACATAATTTTCAAAATTACATATTGCTGCTTTTTAATGATGTGATTGTTATACATTTATGAAGGTACATAGGTATACAAGCATTGTAATAATTTGTATTTATTTTTTTCATTTGAACAAGGAGTATAATATCTTAAAAAAATATATTTATTTGAATGTTAGCCCCTGATTTACTTAAAATTCATCAACATCTCATGTCGATATTTTAAAATTTTAGTTTGAGAGATCATAAACCTATTTGATGTTTTGTGGTTTTAGAATATAGTTTTGCCCAAAAAGTGTCATAGTCGAAAAATAATATTTTCAGTCGATTTTTTACGACATATTGTCTCACGTTGATGTCTTGAAACCTTCGCGATCATATACTTTACTTTCTTTACCTACGAAATGAACATTTTTTAATATATGTGGTGAAATGGCACATTATTTCAGTTTCATCCATCCAAATTTATCGAAGCTTATAACTATCAAATTCTTCAAATATTTTTATTTCTTCTTGCCAAAAATGTCAATTTTTTTTAGCAGACGTGAACGTGTAGTCGATACCGTTTATTCCAATAATAAAAAAAAAAAACACATTGTTTAGAACACCTTGTCCAGGTATCACCTTGTTTTAAATATTTGTTATATACGTTCGGCCAGAAAACGTGGTTAAAAAAATTCAAATATTTTTGGGTCAAGCTTTGTGGATTTTTAAAGATATTTTTGAAAGTCTTTCTGGTTATAAATAGTGGATTTTTTATATGTTTGAAAGACCTTTCGCTTACATAATTCGTAGATATTTTACGACTATTTAAAAAAAAAGTGGCGAATAATTGTGTTAAAATATATTTTGAGGTTGTGGATATCTGAATATTATTTTAAGGACTTTCCTGGACTATATACATGACGAATTCTTCAAAAATTTTAAAATCGGTCTTTTAGGAATATTTGTACAAGGCCTTATTTGATTTAAGATATTTTTAAATAACCTTCTGACCATGAATTGGACCAGAAATCATGGGGCTTCTAACGACTTATTCTCCATGGAAATGCTAGTGGATTACTTGACATTTTTTAAGGATAACAATATTAGCTTTTTACGGGCTTTCTATATTGGATTGGGAGACAATAATAATGCATTTTTTACAAAAATCTTCGCCTTGTCATGGAAATAATTTGTTGGGATTTTGCTAATCCTAGAAAATATTTTTATCAAATATTGTCAAGAAAATTATAGTAATTTTTCGATTTTTGTTTTTTTATTTATTCATTTATTTCAAGCATTGGTAGAACAATACTCGATTTGTAAAAATTTGTGGCTTAACTGTAAAGTTTTTAAGAATTTAATATTAATAATTAGACGACCATTTATGGTGGATACCAAGGTTATAATTTTGGATTTTTTAAGAATTCATTTTACAGGACTGGTATATAACACTGGAGAATTTTTTTGAGAAAGAAAGAAATGCTTGAGAATTTTTAGAAGTTTTTCTTATGAAATAGACATTTTTGAAAAATTATTAGCAGCTCCATAAGTAGGGAATTTCCCAAAGATTGTTTTATATAAATTTTTTTTACGATTCCCCATCAAAAAGTCGAGACTTATTTTGAAGAATAATCTTTGCCTTTGTAAAGAATTCATTTCAGTCACATTTATTTACATTGAAACATATTTGGAGTAGTCTTTTTGCATATCAAATTTTATAGCGATATTGGAAAGACTAATGGGTGAAAATTATAAATTTAAAGAAATAAGTAAAACAAAAATCTGTGACCGTTCAAGAAAGCCCTTTCCCAGAAATGCAATTCGAAAACATTTCAGTGAGGCTCAATGAATTAAAAAGCAACATTTCCTTACATAATGTACAAAAAAAATTGAAAGTATAAATAGGTTTGTCATATGATCTTGGCAAAAATATAATATTTAAAAATAAATTTTCCCTATTTAAAAATTATGATCTTGTGTAAAAGGATATACAAGTGGGTGGATCATAGTTTGAATAGAATCGATGAAATATTTCGCATTTTATATAAGAGTTATGATTATTGAAAATATAAAGGGTGAGATAAAACAACTGGAACAAAGTCAAATGCCATAATTTTTACATTTTTTTTTTTTAATTTTTTTGAATGAAAGTTAAAAAATTTCGGAAATAGCATCAAATTTTGGAATAAGTTTAGAGTTTTTCGAATTGGTCATCTTTGGCACGAATTATGGCCTTCAAGCGGCCAATGAAACCGTCACACGGCCACTGCCTAGCAGGTTTCGTTCAAGTCGCTTCTTTGCTTTTCAAACAATTTCTGCTGATGTTGCTGTTTTCTTCCGCCCACTTCATTAAATTCGTGCTACGCTACCAGTATCACGGTAACGAGCGATGGTACGAGACACAAAAGATTTATTCACATTTAAATGCTGTAATGCTCTAACGATAGCGACTTGTGGTTTTCCAGCCAAATATAAAGAAATCACACTATCACGCTTGAATTCCATCACGAATAACTTTTTTTCTGGAAAATTCTCACCAAAATGCTTCTGTACGCCTGTAAACAATATAATAAGCTGTCACTGGAATAATTTTAAGAGCTGTCGGGCGAGTGGCTTAGAAGTTGAAGCAGTCTGAAGTTGGTTGCAGTTCTTTCATCTCACCCTGTATATCCTCATCATATGGATCTATTCTTATTACATTCAGATGAGCAAACCACCTCAAGAAGTGAACCAATATATCCCATCTTTGCTCTAAATATTGCGCTGAGAGAAATATTTGAATGCGCTTTGTTGGTCGAGAATCGAAGAATCATTTGGCATTTTATATTAAAGTTATGATTATTGAAAATACCGACTTTTTGTGGGGAAGGTAGAAGATGGAGTGCGGCGATATTGCCCTTGATTTTTATTTGACATAAATATTATGGTGGCCGAAGTTTAAACAAAATCGGAAGCTCTTAAAGATTAATTTGGGTTTTTTTGTTTGAATATTTTTAGTTTTTATGGGGGAGCTGAAAAAAGGAGTATACTAATATGAACATTTTTGTCCTATATCTGGTGTTTACAGCAACATTGGAATACGCAAATTTTGAATAAAATTGGTAATTAATTTAACATTGTATACGAGTGTTGCGGTATATACAAGAAGGAGTCG